CTAATGCCCACGTTACTCCAAAATAAGACAGGGGATAGATAGGACTAGGACCATAGGGTGACTTTGTGTGGTACATGGCATGGACATGGCAGTAAACAAAATTGAACCACATAGTGAAAGGGTTGCTCCCTTTTACATTATATTTCATTTCTTGCAATGGAGTGGTTGAATAATCAAGGAGGAAATTTTAGATTGGTCCAAGTAGGTATCTCACACCTCTTTAACTCACACTAGTCTCCACTTGCAAGGAACATTGGGGATTTTCGTTTGAGGCTGTCCCACAAGCAGAGTGCCAGCTAGGATCCAGCGGTGTGGTTTTATTCTCACTCTATTTAGTTTTATGGTCATTGTCTAGTTTTTGCAGGTGATACTGGTTTTCCATTTATTTTCATAACATACTCTCATTTTAAATAAATGTATTCACATTTTTAAAAAGTGCATTCGTTTTTAAAACGGCACTAAATTATACTAGTTTAAGACTGTATAGCACAATTCCAAAGGTATCCTAAAGAAGAGGAAATAATGGAAAATACTGGATTGAATGTCTTTAGTGTCCCTCCCTTGGTTCCATGAATTTATCTACTTAACAGGAAGGAAAATTCCTTTTTCAAGCTGACAACTTCATCAAAACCCAGCCAACAGCTCTTTCACTCCTGTACACAGACAAACTCACAGGGCCTTGGGCCTCTGGACCAAATCCTTAGGCACACACCTTTGTTTTCCTATTTTTCCAAAGTGAGTAGGGAGAACAGATGCCATGAACATGTTGACAACTGTTCCGTCTTGCCAGCTTGTAGCCATTTGGTGTCAAGGATCATTTACATGGCACATGGATATGACAGTATCTAGTCCCTACGCTCAACGTGAAAGAGAATGTCACATGCCTACTAGCACCAGAGCCCATGCCACATGATGTGGCTGTCAGTATGGTAAGCAGAGTAAGGCAGTGAGGGTGATGAGCAGGTGCAGAACCTTAGCCTGCCCACAGGACTTGGGCTCCAGAATTCAGAGCCTTTAGTAAGCTCTTTGGCTGTCAACAATCTCAGCAGACTCATCCTAAATAGCTCCAAGGCCAGTGTTTTTAAAGTTGAGGCAAAGACTATAAAACCAAATGGGAGTGTGTTTAATGAGAAAACTCTGAGGCTCAGACTTCAGGAATCTCAGGGAACAAGATTGACTTCCTCCATGCCATTTTCTGTGTCTATTCAGGTTCGATATTGCAACTCCCTGGATGAGGAAGAAAAAAGGGAGCTGAAGCTGTTCAGCAACCAGAGGAAACGGGAAAACTTGGGCCGAGGGAATGTCAGGCCCTTCCCAGTCACGATGACAGGAGCTATTTGTGAACAGGTGAGCATAAGTTTGGGAGCATGAATAAGTACTGTTCTGGCATCCATTCATTCACTCAACAACTGTTTTACTGAGTGCCTACTATGTGCTCAGCACAGGTCTAGGCCTTGAGGATATAGCAGTGAACACAGCGTGAAAGCTTGATCTTTTCCTTCTGAGAGTTACTTCAAAGGGAATAAGTCAGCTGATATATTTCATCAACAAAATAGAAAAATCCAGCAGGAAGGGGATATTGGGAGTGTAAGAAGGCTCCACGTTTAAGTCATGTGGTATGGAAGACCTTCCCCTTAGAAGGAGGCCTCTGAGCCAAGAGGTTCAAGAACTAACACTGAGTCTTGCAGATTTCAGGGCAAAGTGAACAGCCAGCTCTGAAGCCCTTAAGTACAAGGGTGTTTCCTGTGTTCAAGGAATAGCAAGTTGGCCAGTGTGACTGGGGCAGAGAGAATGAAGGCAAAGAATTAGCAGATACAATCAGTTCATGGAAGGCCATGAAAGCCATCAGAAAGATTGAGCATGATGGGTTTGTATTCTGAAATAAATCCTTTAGAAAATGGAGTTTGCCTGGGCCATGGTTTAGACTCTCTCTAGATAATCCCAGGACCAGCGAAAGGGGTGATGGATGATCTTCTCCTGGGGTTTGAAAATCCTTTATCAAATTACAAGAAGCCCACTGCATTTTCCCTATAACATTTCTGAGTCGAAGAGTCTGGATTTATTTTTTCTTTTGTTCTCTTTTAGAGTGTTCAGGGCATGGTGGAAGGTTAGAAGGAAAGCACTGTGCACATCTAACTTGCCCAAGTTCGCCCTGCCTCACCTCTCAGCTGTCAAAAGCTCTCTAGTTCTGATCATTTTTCACACCTCCCTAATCTCTGATGTTTTTGTAAAGCCTCATTTACCTCTTTAAGCTCTGGATGGATCCATTGAGGCACTGAAGATATGTCAGCTAGCTCAGTGAAGTGGAGCAGCAGATGCCATTTCTGAGGGGTGGAATGAGAAGGCTCAGTGAGATAGGATGGAGATGCTACTTAAGCAGAGACTCAGCAGCAGGGTTTTCATCCTCAGTGAAAAGTATCCTTAAGATGGAGGTGGTTGGGGCTGGCATGGTGGTTAGGTTGCTGGAATCCGACATGGCCGGCTATGGTTCGAGTCCCAGACCTGGTGGCTTGCCTTCTCACTCTCCCTCTCTCTCTCTCTGGTCAAATTAAAGAATAATAATTAATTAATTAAATTAAGTAATTCTTTAAAATAAAAAAAATACAGATGGTCAGTGGCTATGATGTGTGACTATTGTGCTCAATTCAGGGCCCTCATCATTTTTAGATGAGTCTCCTAGAGCCCAACAAGGTGGGCTCTTTGGCTGTCAACTGGACCCCGGCAGTCAACAAGCTAAGGGGAAAGGAAGGAAGCTTGGGCGTTCTATCAGTAGATGCTGAGAGTAGTGTGGATGGTGCCAGGGGCGTGGCAGTAGAGAGATCTTCCGCAGGTTTGACTCATGTTTCTGCCTGATGATCTTGACACCATGTTATTTTTCCTTGGTTTTGACACCTACAGAATGGGTGTAACAAACCTTAGAGAATTGTGGTAAAGGTTAAATAGGATTGTGGATGCAGACTTTACCTCTACTAGTACTATGGCAGGGAGGGGTGGTACTTTTGGAACACACTGTCCTGTTTCCCACATGGATAAGCTCCCAGAGACTATTCCATGAGGCCTTTAGTTTATTTGCTATGAAGCGTATCAATTCATACCATGTCCATGATGTGGGAAATGGCTGGAAGTGGATTCTCTTCTCTTCAGACATTGTCCCCCGTCATATGGGACCGTAATACTAGACTCAAGCTGAGAACATCATGGTTAACAGAGAGAGCTCCCTGGGCCCACCTCCACCTCACTTAAATACCCTCAGACCTCATTCTTTTTATCTCAAACCCAGCCATGAGCTTGGATCATCAATGATTGCACCTTGTTTCTTTTTAGATATGGAAGGGAACTTTGTAAAATGAGTGAGAGTCAGGGAAGGGACATAAAAAAACATTCTGCAGGCTGACCTTAGAAGTGGTGCTATTTTGGGAACCAGCAGTTAGTGTAATGGCTATGTCGCTGGACTCCCACGTAGTCGACCGCGATTCGTGTCCCGGACCCGGTGGCTTAAAACTCACACCGGGCGCGTGTGCGTGCGTGCCCAAGATCCCGAGAGGAGAATGGAGGAGAAGGGATTGCGGCGTGACCATCCTCCCTGGGGGGTGATTTCTTGCTTTCTGTCTCTATGTCTCTCTCTGTCTGTCTGGCGAGCGCACGTGCCCTACAGTGAAAATCTCTCCAAAAAGAAAAGAAGTGGTGCCATTTCATTCAGACTGTAAAAAGACATTAGAAAGCAGGTTGCAAGTGTGTTTGAAAGACATACAGAGATGGTAGCTAAAGGTGAGTGCAGTTTTTGCACCCACCTGCCCTAACATCCAACCATCAGGGCCTACCCTCCTTGCTTCTCCCCTCCCCAGCCTCTGCCTCTTCCTCCTTGGCTCTGCCTCTGTGTGGAGTTTGGACCATCCACCAGATAATGAGACCCTCGCTCTGTGCAAGTTTGCTCCCCACCTGCAGAGCCACTGTGTGCCGTTGAGCTCAGAGTATGTCTGTCTCTCCCACCTTCCTGATTCCACGTTCTCTCAGTTACTTTGTCTTTACGTTACTTGTAAGCCCTGATAAAGGAGGGATGGGGAGGGTAAGAAAAACCTACCCTGCCACATATGGAAAGCTGGTATCGCAGTGTCCCATTTGAAAATCAGCCCTCAACAAGCAGCTGGGGGCAGTGGTTAATCATTTGTGCCCAGCACTGGGAGGTGGGCACTGGCGTTCATGCTGCTGTTTCTGTTTGCCCCACAGTGCGGAGGCCAGATCAATGGCGGAGACATTGCTGTGTTCGCGTCGCGCGCTGGTCATGGTGTGTGCTGGCACCCACCCTGCTTCATATGCACCGTCTGCAATGAACTCCTGGTGGATCTGATCTACTTTTACCAAGATGGGAAGATATACTGTGGCAGGCACCACGCTGAGTGTCTAAAGCCACGCTGTGCAGCCTGCGATGAGGTCAGTGCAAGCTTGGTTGGGCTTGAACCCTGTCCATCACCCCCAACTGCAGCCATAGCCAACACGGTATTCAGTGACTTCCTGCCCAGAAGGAAGCCAGAGCAACTTCTCCCTCCTTTATTAACCCATTGAAGAGAGAAGCCCCAGCCATCCCCGGTTGCTAGAATGTCTGGGATTGCAGCCTACTGTATCAAATGTGGCAATCTCAGCCTTCCGGTAGAAAAGCAGTTTCTATAGCCAAGTAGATTCCCAAGTTGCATACTGCTGGCCTGAGATCACAACTCTAAAAAAAAAAAAAAAAGAAAAAAGAAAAGAAAAAGAAAAAGAAAGAAGGAAAAGCAAAGCATTGTGCAACTTTAGATGTCAGCCCTGGTCCCAGGGAGTAATTGCCAGTATTGGAGTACCACTTATGTCTTAAACTAGGTCATTTCCCCAGATCTGATGGGACAGGCTGGGTCTTAAAGAGAGGAAAGCGGATAGCATTATTTGAATTTCCCACCATTTACCAAAGTTCTGAGTTAAAATTTAGGAGGCAAATGGGTACACCTTTTAGAGGCCTCAGCCCCATGCTCTGGGAGGTATTTGAATTCACTCCCCAGGTAATGAAGCAGAGTGGACCACAAGGTCTCTGCCTGGCATTGCCCCTCCACCAGTTGCTTGCCCAAATATCTGAAAGCTGAAAAAAGAAAAGAAAAAGAAAAAGAAAGAAGGAAAAGCAAAGCATTGTGCAACTTTAGATGTCAGCCCTGGTCCCAGGGAGTAATTGCCAGTATTGGAGTACCACTTATGTCTTAAACTAGGTCATTTCCCCAGATCTGATGGGACAGGCTGGGTCTTAAAGAGAGGAAAGCGGATAGCATTATTTGAATTTCCCACCATTTACCAAAGTTCTGAGTTAAAATTTAGGAGGCAAATGGGTACACCTTTTAGAGGCCTCAGCCCCATGCTCTGGGAGGTATTTGAATTCACTCCCCAGGTAATGAAGCAGAGTGGACCACAAGGTCTCTGCCTGGCATTGCCCCTCCACCAGTTGCTTGCCCAAATATCTGAAAGCTGACAGAGTAGAAAATCTGATGTAGCTCTGGAGGTTGGGAGCAGAAATCAGAATGTCCTAAACTGGCCACTTCTGTAAGAATAATTTGGGGAAGTATCTTGAACAGGGGTTTCCTCCTGTGCAGAGAAGTTTTGGGATCTATATAAACATGAGTGAGGGAAGAAGAAAACCTGTTTTTCAGCTAAAGAGTCCGCTATTAATTGGGCTTTTCTTTCTTACAGAGAGATTAAATCTTTTAGGTGGAAGTGGATCAGATGTCACTAATCTAGAGTCAAATGCTAATAGCGATGCCCCAGAGAGACCCTCTAGGCAGAGAGTTGGATGCTGAATTCAGGTCCAGCCCTGATTTTAAGCAGCTGCTTGACCTTCATGCCTCAGTTTCCACATCTGTAAATCAGTACAACTTTGTGTTCTCTGATGCCAAATAGAAAGGATATGATGCTTTAAGTGAAAGTGCTTTGAAATGTTTGATTATTGAGATATAATTTGCATGGCATTAAGGTTCACACTTTTAAGGTATACAATTCAGTGGTTTCTAGTTTATTCACAGCCTTACAACCATCATTCCTATCTGATTCCAGGTTATTTTCACCAACCAAAAAAGAAATTCTGTGTTCTTTAGTAGACACACACAGCCCCCCTGCAAACGCTAAATCAATCTTAGTCTCTGGATTTACATTCTGGACATTTCATATAATGAAATCATACAATATATGATCTTTTGTGTCTGGCTTCTTTCATTTAGCATATTTTCAAGGTTAATCCATGCTTCAGTGTGTTTAAATACTTTGTTCCTTTCACGCCAAATAATATTCAGTTGTATGTATAGATCACGTTTGTGTAGCCATTTATCAGGTGATGGACATGTGAGTTTCCACTTTTTAGTTGTTATGAACAGTGCTGCTGTGAACATTCATGTACAGATTTTTGTGTGAATATAGGTTTTTAGTTCTCTAGAATCCATACCTAGGAGGGGAATTGCTGGGTCATATGGTAATTATAAGTTTAACTTTTCTAGAGAAAGCCAGCTGTCTTCCAAAACTATACCTTTCTACATCCTACCATCAGTCAGTGAGGATTCCAGTTTCTCCACATTCTCACTAACACCTGTTATTGCTATCTTTTTTAATTATAGCCATACTGGTGCGTGCGAAGTAGTATCACCTTTTAATTCACATTTCCCTAATGACTGATAATGTTGAGCATCTTTTCATGTGTTTATTGGCTATTTATGTATCTTCTTTTTTGAAGAACTGTCTATTTAAATCCTTTTCATGTCTTTTCAGTTGAGTTGTTTTTCTTTTTATTGTTGAATTGTAAATGTTCATATATTCTGGAACTAGTTTCCTATCAGATATATGATTTGCAAATATTGTTTCCTGTTCTGTGGTTGTGTTTTCACTTTATCAATGATATTCTTTGTAACATAAAAGTTTTCAGTTTGGGGGGCCAGCAGATAGTATGGTATTTAAGCCACTGGACTCCCATATAGCTAACCACAGTTCGAGTCCTGGATCTGGTGGCTTTAAAATTACCCAGGGTGCATGTGCATGCCCAAAGTCCTAAGGGGAGAATGGAGGCAAAAGGATTGCTATGTGGCCATGCTCCCTAGGGGGTGATTTTTTTACTTTCCCTCTCTCTGTATCTCTGTCTCTTTGTCTCTCTCTCTGGTGAGCACACATGCCCTATGGCAAAAACATATAACAAACAAGAAATTTTTAACTTGATGAATTCCACCTTATTTTTCTTTTGTTACTTATACTTTTAGTGTCATATCTAAGAAACCATTGCCAAATCTAAAGTCATGAAGATTTACTCTTCTGTTTTCTTCTAAAAATTTTGTTTCTTGCCTTGAACTTGGGTCTTTGATCCCTTTTATGTTAATTTTGCATATGGTGTGAGACAGAGATTTGGATTTATTCTTTTGCATGAGGTTATCTCGTTATCCCAGACCATTTGTGGAAGAGCCTGTTCTTTCCTGATGGAATGGTCTTGGCACTGTTTTTTGATAATCAGTTGGCCATACTTAATGTGGGTTATTTCTGGACTCTATCCTGTTCATCTATTACATTGTCAGGAAAATCATGGTGTAGTTTTCCATGTTTTTCTATGCAAAAACGTGTCATAACTCTCCCAACCACCCAGTATACGGACATCCTTGTACCAGAACCACACCAGCATGATTATTGTAGCTTTGAGGTATGCATCTAAATCTGTGCTCTGAAATATTAACAATGCTCTATCAGGGGTCAAAAACACAAATACTTCTGAGGGCTAAGCAAGCATTTTAAATGAAGACAATGCATTTTATGGCTATAGGGAGTGGTGACAAATATGACAAATGGAAGGATGCTCTGCTCTTCTGGAAGCAGCAGCCCCTCTCCTTCGCTCTGGTTTGTTGCCACTCAGGACTGTGAACTGAGCGTTGTCAAATTTATGTTTTCAAAAGAGAGGGAGCCAGCAGTTAGCGTAATGGCTATGTCGCTGGACTCCCACGTAGTCGACCGCGGTTCGTGTCCCGGACCCGGTGGCTTAAAATTCACGCCGGGCGCGTGTGCATGCGTGCCCAAGATCCCGAGAGGAGAATGGAGGAGAAGGGATTGCGGCGTGACCATCCCCCCTGGGGGGTGATTTCTCGCTTTCTGTCTCTATGTCTCTCTCTGTCTGTCTGGCGAGCACACGCGCCCTACAGTGAAAATCTCTCCAAAAAAAAAAAAAAGAAAACCCAGAATTTTGGGGGTTATGGTGCA